AATTGCACTAAATTTCAGCATTTAAATACAAAAAATCATACGCCTTAAATGCCTTTACATGATAATTAGCTTTTAAACTCTGTTAGAAAACAAGATGTAAAGTTGTGTATGTATTTGTGGCTAAGGAGAGCATTCAAACATTGTAGAAGGAAAAGATTGTAAATGTTTGCCAGTTATTCAAAATTTCTGCAGTGTAGAATAACAGAAAGAAAAATGTGTCCTGAATTATTTTACAAAATAATTATCCTGGAAAAATTATGTAGTTTTATTCTCTTTGGAAAAATAAATTGAAATTTTTATGAAGCTTGTTAAACTGTAAATAACGGTTAAGATAGATTTCTAAACTGCAATAAGAGATTGGCTTTAAAGTGTCTAAACAGGGAGAAAGATTGGCTCAAGTCAAAGCAATAAAGACAAGCTGAGGATTTACAACCAAAATTCTGATAGAAGGTAATGGGATAATTACTAAGAAGAGACACCAAGGGTAAAGGAAATTCTTGCCAGTCTGGTTTTGCAAGGTTCTTGTTGAACAGCAGGCCAGGGAGATCAAAACTCAGTGGTGGACAGATTCGACATTGATTTAGCTGGACTTTTGCTAAAATCGGATTCCACAAGGACAGACACTGAACTTCATGATCAAAAGCCAGTAGAGAAATGGATTCAGAAAAGCCTTATTCATGCCAGATCAAGAAGAGACTTTCAGGATGGACATTTGCAGAGTGAATCACAAATTAAAATGCGAGTTAAGAAAAACATAGAAGATTAGCAAGCTTGGATTCAGTTCTCAATTCTGTCTCCTGATTCTACCTTTCATTCAGTACAAACCCTAAAAGGCTTAGGTTATAGTGCAGGTGACTCCTGTTCACTCATATGAATGGCCTAGACTGCATTCCCAACTTGCAGCTTTTGGCCCTGATGCAGACCAATCTATGGGAAATGTGATGCCTCTCTCATTCTCTCATCTCTGCACCCACCTCAGTAAATATTAGCATACAGAATCTGCACTATCCATATTTCCAAAGAATGCTCAACATTCTCTAAATTTCCAAAGAATTAAACTACCTACAATTTTATCCGTTAAGTTTCTGAAGATTTGTTCACTGGGAAGCAGTATGTAGATAAGGTGCTATACGATAACGGGCCAAGGGAATGTCATTTTTTTTTCTAAAGATTTATTTTTATTATTTTTTTCATTGGAAAGGCAGATATACAGAGAGGAGAGACAGAGAGGAAGATCTTCCGTCCAATGATTCACTCCCCAAGTGAGCGCAACGGGCCGATGCTATGCTGGTCCGAAGCCAGGAGCCTCTTCAGGGTTTCCCTCGCGGGTGCAGGGTCCCAAAGCTTTGGACTGCTCTCCCGGGCCACAGGCAGGGAGCTGGAAGGGAAGCGGGGCTGCCAGGATAGAACCGGCGCCCATATGGGATCCCGGGCGTGCAAGGCGAGGACCTTAACCACTTGGCCACTGTGCCACTGCGCCACTGTGCCACCGCGCCGGGCCCGAAGGGAATATCTTTAAGGCAGACAAGAACAAATGGACTATGGAATGAACGGTGCCCTGGAGGGAAGACAGAATCTAAGTTGAACAGAATGGAAAATTCAAAGATTAGAGAAGTAGAATTCGAGGGAAGTGGTACTGCAACCACCAAATCAGTCAAATCTAAAAGGCGTTGGTGAGATCTTTTACTTTAATTCTGAATAAAGGCTTTTGAATAAAGAGATAGTCTAATTCAAATTTTAATGAGTCCAAGTTCTGTGATGAGACAGATTATGGTAAGCCAGAGTTGACAGCACATAGATGAATTGTTTCTGTCCTAGCCCAGGGCATGTACCATGTGGTTATTTCAGGATGGATAGCTATGAAGATGGGCTGTAACAGTCATCTTTTCAGTATGTTTGAGAGGCAGAGATGAAAAGTAGGATGATAAATAATCCTTATGGACTGGAAAAATGTGGTAACTGAATGGTTTTTTTCTTTCACATTTTTAAAATTTTGATTTTTATGGTACAACTCAATAGGATCTGGAATTTCTCTACTCCCTCCCCAAATTCCTACCCCCGAAACTGATTTTCTTTATATTATATAACAATAGTATAGTCCTTCATAAGCAGTCACAAGTGCATCAGTCTTTTATTTAAGTCTATCCTGACATTGCTGGTACAAACAATGTTTTTGACATTGAGGAAATTACAGCAAAAATCTATTGAAGGAAAGAATGTATCTTCAAGTTTTTACCGATGTGGAGGAAACAGGGCCTAGAGAGAATTAATACTTGAATCAACTGGGGATTATCCCCTGGGAAGTAAGAGCATGTAGGTCGTTGAGCTCCATGTCATACCTAATTTCTCTGTATCGAGATTGCTTCTTCCTATTATTCGTTTAAGACTGGCTTAGAAATATGCTTTAGAGCACTTGCCCTGTATTGCTTCGCCCCACTATGCTAACAACTACTAGCACTTACGGGCTGTGTTGCACTTGCTTTTGCAGTAGGCACCTCTCATCATAAGCGCTGTGCAGCAGAACACTTGCAATTACATGGACCAAGTCTGAGTAAAGCAGTCCCATTTTTTTTTTCTCTTAAGGTGAAATCTTAGTTGCATTTCATGCTATGGTTCTTTTGATGCACTACATCCCAGGATCGTTTGTCAGTTGTTTAAAAGCATCTCACATCTCACTTTTTTTTTTTTTTTTTAGTTCCTTTCCACCTCATGGCTCTTTTTTATAACATTTTCCTTCATGAAAATCTCCCTCTTTATTTAATCAGCTAATGCATTGTCTTTCATCGGGTCCTGGCATAAGTGCTAGGTTTTAAGGAAAATATTATTCTAATCCATGTCCCCTTTGTTCTCTACAGTCTAAATTTGTGAATTGATACCAGTTATCAGTTTTCTTAGCAGAATCAATGAAATCAAAAGACTTTGCCTGTATTATTCATTAACATATTACAAAATTATTAATCTAGATAAAAATAAGCATTTCCATAAATTTGTATTATTTCCAATCAATACGAATAATACATACTCAATGCGATTTTTATTTTTGATAACATGAAACTGAAGTATCTTTTGATAACAGCATTTTACTGGGCTTTCTCTTTCATTTGGGACTATGGGAACTTAAAAAAATGAGTTTTCGACATGACCAGCAGCACCTGGTTTTGATAAGTAGGTAAACATTTTTCTTTTTATACAGAAAAAAAAAAAAGATTTGCCCTCCAGGTCTGGATCACTTTGGGGAAACGCTTGCCTCACTGAGCCTGTATGTACAAGGGCGCGACGTGTCTGCTCCCCTGAGAGCGAAAAGCGAAACAATGCATCTAAACCAATGTCATCAAAAATACTTCAGGAAACTGTAGACTATATCACAAATTGCTGATTTATGCAAAATAGTTTTCATGCTGGAGAATTTTTTAATCAGTTCTATTTTATCTCATAACTTTTTGTTTGTTGAAATAACGAGTTCAGTAGAAGTATTTCACCAAAAGTATTTCAAGAGATTAGTTCCGATCAATAGTAGTTTGACGTATATTCATTCTAATGCCAAATTTTAATGCATTTTATTATTTTTAAAGATATACACACATGTATTTATAAAATTAAATAAAACATTCTCAAACTTACACAAAGAAGCTATAGTTATTAAATCCTAGAAAACTAATTCTTTCTCATTTCTGTCTTAAATTCTATTTATAAAATTAAATATTAATAAGGTGCCATTTTAGTAAATTATTTGAACACACATGTAGAGTAAAACTGCTAGCTTAACTTCCTTTTGCAATTGCTGAAGTCTTTTCTTTACATGAAAGCAGTATTATAATTAGAATTAATTAATAACATATTTAGAAATAACTGGCATTTTGAGGCAGGAAAAGGGAGCTCAAAAACAATTACCCTCATAGAGCTCTCCATAAAAAAAAAGAAAGCATGAAATGTTATCTGTAATTTTATATTGAGTAGTAATTTACTAATTAGCAAATCTCATTTTGAGAATTCATATAAAATTTGTCAGATACAAAACAAGAAAAGCAGTTTTCTGTACCTACGCTTTTGAATTACTCATATATGAATCAGCATGAAAATTATACTACTATGCTTGTTATCATCACTTTAATTTCTGTTTCAATTGATATGTGCTCAATAAAATGGCAATCTACAAGTAATATTTAATATTTTAAGGAAATATTTCAATTTAAAAATCTTTTTATTTAGTCTTCTCACATTGCAACCTGCAGACTTTAAAACACAAAGGGAAAAGGTTATTTTTATGATGCCATCATGGAAATGGGAAAAAAAACTCTGTGTATATTATTTCAACTCAGGGTATAAAATAATATCACTTGTATATTAGCAAAATTTACCTTCTTTACAAACATCCATTTAATTGATTAATATTTTGACAACCTCTGAGGTTAAATGGAGGAAATGAAATCTTAACAAATATTAATGGAGAAACTAGATGAAAAACACAAAAGCAAAGTAGATTAAAAATGTTGGTAGCACCAATAACTGCAGATGTTTTGTTGAGATTACCGATTTTCTTTATATTTTTACAATGTTTACATTGTTAAAGGATTAGTAGAATGATACCAGCATTCTTCCACAATGGAACAGTATATAATTTGTTGAACAAGATTTGATTTTCCCATGTGCCTGTGAAGCTTTCCTGAGAAAAGCTTATATTAATGTATATATAAAACATATTCCTGGCAGCAGAAGATACTTATCAGTTGGTGGGTGTGATCACAACATCTGATGATTCCTTGAACAGGTTGTTAGGCAAAATCTGGCAAATTTTATTATCATATGTACCAACAATTTTCAGTGATATTGTGAAGATCAGTTAAAAATGTATTTGCCTAGGTCTAATGGAGGATTTAAATTTCAGATGCAATGATTTCTTTTTGAGATTGATCTGATTGAAATTTTTACTATTTGCTGTTTTCTTTGTCTATATTGAATTTGTTACAGTTACTCTTCTTCGAAATTAAATATTTTCCCAGGTAAATCTCTTGGCATTTGGAGTTATCATATACAAAGTTTTCCGTCACACTGCAGGATTGAAGCCAGAAGTCAGTTGCTATGAGAACATAAGGTAAAGTTTGCATTTGACATCATTAGTAATCGGAAACCTCAATGAACTAAAGAACAAATACATTTCAGAATTTTGGTTTTCCATAGTCGTTTGACACTGTCTTCTATCATGTTTAAAATGCTTACTGAAGTATTTATATTTAATAAGACTCACAAAAAATTAAAAATAAGTGAAATAGTTTTTGAAACATTTTCACCTTTGAAAGCAAAAGTATAGTTAGGTGATTTTTTTTTTTTGTCTCTTTTTTTTCTGGTAAACAGTGTTTCTCAGAGCTTAACAAGTTCTATTTTTATTGATTTATTTATTTTGATTTTTAGTTTATATGTTGCTGGGATTTTTAATGCTAACACCTTCTTTAAAACAGATTTACTGAGACCTTGTAATGATTTGGACAAGTTGAAATATACAGTAGGGGATATCAGAGACAATTGATTGTGTTTCATGGGAAAACTCTTATAGTTTCACTACCTTACACAAGATTTATAGTCGGGATTTAGCAGCTGCTTGATTGATCACTTTCTTTCAGTCTTAACCATTCATAGGTTCATGTAGAATGCTGGTTTTAGTAAAGTTGGTGATTACTCATTTTGGAGGTTCACCATAAGATATCTGCTGTAGCAAAGAATATTGGTCTCAAAATAAGCGAAAATAAGTATTAGCTGCTCAGTTTTCAAGTCAATGTGTTCAGTTTGCAGAATCGATTACTGACTTCCCAAAGTACAAGGCACTCAGGTAAAAATATGTAGGTGTCTGCACTTTCAAAAAAACTTTTTAGAGGTCAATATTCTGACATAAATTTATTTTGTAAAATCCATATAACACAAATTATAATTTATACTCTGTACTTTCTTCTTATTCAACCCGAGAAGAACGCACAATTCTCTTTTGATGTCTTGGGCATGTGCTGACACAGGTCCACCCAGTGTCTTCTTCAAGATTTCACAGTGAAGACATTACCTAAGAGATACATCTTATCTTTGGAATTTACATTAGCGGTAGATTTGAAATTAAAGCACTCTTACTGAACTACATCAGACGGAAATATTTTAAGATTAAGGAAATTCCCTTTAAAACAGCATGTTTTAATAATGAGACTTTGATTTTGGAAACACCTCGCTGCCACAGTGCGGTAGCATACCCGTAAGGCCATGCCATGTTACTGCAATTCAAATTTTCAGATCATTGTTTTTATAGATATATTAGTTAGGACAAAATTGTATTTCCTGCAATCTGCAGAATTGGGGGGATGTGAAATATAAGCTGCGTTCCTAGTTGACACACTGCAACACCTCCTAGGTCTTGTGCAAGAGGAGCCCTGGCTCTCCTGTTCCTCCTTGGCACCACCTGGATCTTTGGGGTTCTCCATGTTGTGCATGCATCCGTGGTTACAGCTTACCTCTTCACAGTCAGCAATGCCTTCCAGGGGATGTTCATTTTCTTATTTCTGTGTGTTTTATCTAGAAAGGTAAGCAACTATTTTTTATGAACTCTACTGTGTTTTTGTATAGCAACACCTGCCACATTGATAATTATTTCCATAGATTTATGAAATCTTCCTTTTATTTATTGGATTTAATTATTTTAGCACAAAAGAAGCAGAACACCTACTTGATTTTAGCAATATATAGTTTTAAAGTTAACTTGCTGTTTAGAAATGTCAGCATAAACTATCTAAATTTTAGCATGTTCTGACAAAGTAATAATCCTTTAGAAAAATATATATAATAGTTATTTTAATTTGAACATATTTACCGGATTTTCATAGGTTTTTTTTTTTTAACATTTCTGTCTTTCTTTTTCTTTAAGATCCAAGAGGAATATTATAGATTGTTCAAGAATGTCCCTTGTTGTTTTGGCTGTTTACGGTAAACACAGAAAACTAAGTATATATCTGCACAAATATTAAAAAGACAAGCTATGAATGACCAGTTAAATAGTTTAGAAGTGTGTAAAAGTGACTCAAATTATCCAGTTATTAGTTACCAGATAATCAAATACTTCAATTTTTTTTATATTTATAGCATAAGAACTGTAAACAGTAAGAGGTAAAAGTATGTGCCACGTAGTTATTTCACTCTTCCCTCCATGACATAGTTCTGTCAAAACAGCACTGCCGATATTCAGAAAGTAATTGGTTTCTCAGGAGTGATATCACTGCGCCCAAGGAAAGATTTTCTTTCTAACACAGAAATATATGAATGTCCTGCAGGAAAGCATGGTCTTGATATTGTTATGGCTCATGTTGCCTTTGAAACTTGTCACCACTGCTCTGGTAATGAGCTGCTTTCAGAAAGAGAAATGACACAGAATGAAGAAGAAGAAAACAAAGAGGTAGAGAGGAAATGGTTCTTACGATAAGATGCATTTGGAAAAAACTTGCTTTCTTATCTACTTGAGAAATTTTTGAAATATAAGAAAGCATTGAGTGAGCATCTTTGCATTTTTTGAATTGTTCTGAATTTAAATTTCTACTGAAATAATTTATACCTCAATTTTCTCTATCCACTTTGTTATCTAATTTTTAACTAACACAAATTTGTAAAAATCAAAAATATTGCTTGAAGTTAACATTGGCTTGGGCTACTTGTTGTTTCTATGTTTCTTTTACAAACTGAGACTTTAATCAATAAAATATGAATATCACAAAACCTAATTACAGAAACCAATTTCATGGAAAAAATTTCACAAAATTTAATTTCCTTTCTAGATGGAACATTTGTGTACATAGAGCTGAAATAGTCCATTCTGTTATATTAGTGTAGGGAATATTCTATTGCACTGAATTCTTTTTTACTTTAAAATTAGAAAATAGTTCACACAGCAACATTCCTTTTTAATTTAAAAATTTAAAAGGGCATTGTATATATGAAAGCACTCATAAATTGAATTACATTTTTCTGTTCAGAAGTGTACACATTTAGAAATATTATTTATAACAAAATTGATTGAGAAACTGCAGCTTTTTATTTTAGAGTGTATCTATTTTCTGACAATCTTTGCTATCCATTAAAGTATATCTGCTTAATTGTGCATCTTCTGCCTTGAAATCTTATTAAAATGTAGAGGGAATAGTTTTATTTTGAAACTATGCAACTATGCCTATACACTAAATGTTGTGATTTAAATTAATTTATCCAGCTGTTAAAAAAGTTCTGTGAAATCTTGTTCTAACAAATAAAATATTATCTATACCAAGAAATCTTATTACTTCATTGCTGTGTTGTTCCCTCAAGAAAGTTAAGCATTTTGTCATAGCTCTTTTACAATTATAGAGGGTTCTTGAAAATAACTTTTCATTGCATTGTCTAATTCTTTACATGGTAAGTCTAGGACTTATTACTGTCGTAATCACACAACAGTGCTGCAGGAGTTTGAGACTGAAAAACAAATCTGTCCAATCAGTATTATGCAACTATATGTGGTTGGTAGAAAAATGAGCCTTCAAAAATGTCTGTACCCTGATCATCACAACCTGTGACTATATTAACTTTCATGGCAAGAAGAATTACAGTTGAAAATGAAGTTGCTCATTAGCTAACCCTGATAGGGAGAGATTAGCCTGAATAGTCCAGGTGAACCTGTTGAGATATTAAGTACCTTTCTAAGAAAGGAAGTGGAAGACAGACTGAGTCAGAGTGATGCAACCGGATAGATCCTAGCAGCCTCTGTGGACTTTCCAAATGATGGAGCATGCAAGCCACAGACACGGATAGACCCCTGGAAGCTGAAAACGGTAAGGTAGTGAAGTTATCCCCAAGGCCTTCAGATCACCGGCCTTGCTGATGCCCTTGTTAGCACCAGTGGATCCGTTTAATATTTCCAACCTTTAGATTTCTAGGGTAAATTTATGTTGCTTAAGCCACAAGATTTGTCATAACATGTTGTATAAGCCACAGGGACCTAATGCTATGAAACTATTTATGTAATGATGTCTTTAGAAGCAAACTGTTACCCATATCATGAGAAAAAACTTAACCTTAATGTGTGTTCTTGCTTTTATTTGTTTGTTTATTATTTTTTATGTATTATGTTTTATTCATTTGAGAGGTCAAATGGAGAAACAGAGAGCTCCCATGTGCTGGTACGTTCCCTATTTTCACAATGTCTAGGACTAGATAAAGCTGAAGCCAGGAGCCCAGGAATAATTTGGGTAATGCAAATGCCAGGCACCCGTTTACTTGTGCCATGAGCTAGATAATTTCCCAGAGTCTGCAATAGCAGGAAACTGGAATTAGAAATAAAACCCAGATCTTGAACCCAGTGACTGCAACATGGCATGTAGGCATCTAAATGGTAATGTAGCAGCTGGGCCAGATTCCCACCAATGCCTTGTTTTTGCCTAGCCTCCCTGCAAATACCTTTGGATTAAAACATATACGAACTAATATAGAGAATTTAAAAGGAGCTTGCCAAACCAGTAAAGTAATGGTTAATTTCCAATTAGCTGTTATTCCTCATTCCATTTTCTCACTTGATAGTGAGTTGTATAAATGTTAGAATTTGAGATCCAACCCCCAAACATACAAAATAGATCTCAAATTTTAATAAAAAATATTAATTAATAGATCTCTTTGTTTCTCCACAAACAGAAAAGAGATTATAGGAAGCCAAAGGATTCAAAGAACTCAATACATTAAACTTGTCCTCAAAAGATGATATAAATCAAGGTCAAGGAGTTATATATTCTTGGATTCTATGAAAGTTCTTTTTTACTAACTACAGGCATAATAATCCCATAATTTAAAAGAATTCTATTGCTGTTAATTACGTACTAATTACATACTTGACGTAACATCTAATCATTGCAAATACAATGGAATTTATAACAAATACTCCGCAGAATGAATAATAGATATCAGGAGCTAAATCTTCACAAGAATAAATGGCAGGGTATAATTTCTTCAATTCCTTTCTATTCAATATCAGCTTTTAAAATGAAACAATTACCAAGCCCAGTGCAGTAGCCTAGCAGCAAAAGTCCTCGCCTTGCATGCACCGGGATCCCAGTTGGGCACTGGTTCTAATTCTGGCAGCCTCGCTTCTCATCCAACTCCCTGCTGGTGGCCTGGGAAAGCAGTCAAGGATGTCCCAAAGACTTGGTAACCTGCACCCTTGTGGGAGAACCGGAAGAGGCTCCAGGCTCCTGGCTTTGGATCGGCACATATCTGTCCATTGCAGCCACTTGGAGAGTGGATCATAAGATGGAAGATCTTCCTCTCTGTAATATCTAACTTTCAAATAAAAATAAACAAATCATTTAAAAAATGAAACAACCCTGCATGTCCTAATTTTCTATAGTTTCTATCTAATTATACCTATCTTCAATGCCATAGAAAATATGACTCTTACTTTATTGCCTGAATTCCTCATGATGAAAACTTTGAGGAAGACATGAATTATGAATTCAAAAGGAATACAAGAAGAACAGTGCAATGTTCAGCTCTTCCCACTGCCTAGTACTGTCATGCAAATTCTATCCATCATCCAAGCTTCTTGCCAAGGAAACCCTGTGATCAATGTGATCACTATTGATTCTCCCAGTCACTACAGCTTTAACACAAAACACACAGCTAGCATGGGTGTCCTTGTGAAAGTATCATTGTGAAGACATCATCTGAATTTCATGTTTAAAACGTCCAAGTTTTGGAGAATCAAGATGGCAGAAGAGGGGAAGGATTTATTTAAACAGAGAATTATTAGCCAGGGTGAAGTGGAGACAGCAAATTCCAGGAAACAGAAACGGGCACTCTGACAGCAGAGGGGTACCTGGAGACCAAGGGCTTGGGGAGGCAATAGAGACAATGCAGTGGCATTGCAGCGACCACATACCCCAGCAGTGGTCAGCAAGCTGTTATTCAATCTCCACCAATAGCCAGGTGGGAAGGGGAGTTCCCCAGGAGCTCAGCAGGTGAACCCAGTCAAAGAACTGCCCTTCTTGCTGATTCGTTTGATTTGATCAGAAGTGGATGGAGCAGCAGACCCAAAGCGGATGGAGCAGCAGCCAGGAACCCCAGCAGGGCCACATTTGTTGTCATTTTTTGTGGCGTTTCAAAGGCTGTGGGACTGGAAGGATAGCAGCAAGCTGTATGTGCTAAGCCAAGATCAAACTCGTTCAAAGCCAAATATAAAATTTATGGGAATTTAAGAGGGTGCAAAAAGAAACTCTGGGTTTAAAGATGTATTCAATGAAATAATGCATGAGAATTTCCCTAACCTGTTGAAAGAATAGAAAAGCAACATCCAGGAGGGGCTTAGAACTTCCACTAGGATTACCCGAAAGTGATCATCACCAGGTCACATGATAATCAAGCTCTTTTCAATCAGTATATGCTTAAATATGCACATCAGAAAAAAATCAACTGACATACAGAGGAATGGCAATCAGATTCACAACTGACCTCACAGGAAATTCTACAGGCCAGAAGAGCTTCGAAAGGAGATCATTGTTGACCCAGAATAACATATCCAACAAAACTTTCCTTTGTGTTTGAAAACGAAATAAAATTCTTGTATAGTAAAGAAAGCTCAAAGAATAGACCTCTTCCAGACCTGCCCTACCAATGATACTTAAAGATGTGCTCTTGACAGAGAAAAGAATGGCACCTTCAAAACTCAAAGTCAAATATGGAGAACATTCCAGTAACGTGGCAAGAGAAAACTAAATCAAACAATGAATGACCCATTGTTAAAATGACAGGACTAAATTACCACCTATCCATATTAAACATGAAGGTAAATATTCTTTTTAAAAGATTTATTTTATTATTTTTTATTGGAAAGGCAGATATACAGAGAGGAGAGACAGAGAGGAAGATCTTCCGTCCGATGATTCACTCCCCAAGTGAGCACAACGGCCGATGCTATGCCAGTCCAGAGCCAGGAGCCTCTTCCTGGTCTCCCGCGCGGGTGCAGGGTCCCAAAGCTTTGGGCTGTCCTCGACTGCTTTCCCGGGCCACAGGCAGGAAGCTGGAAGGGAAGCGGGGCTGCCAGGATAGAACTGGCGCCCATATGGGATCCCGGGCATGCAAGGCGAGGACCTTAACCACTTGGGCACTGCGCCGGGCCCCATGAAGGTAAATATTTTAAACTCATTAAAAATCACAGATTAGTGGACTGGATCAAAAAGCAAAACTCATCTACCTATTGTCTACAGGACACACATCCCACCAACAAAGATCAGTGGGAACTATAGCTAATGGATTTGATGTTTTTGTTTTCACTTCTTCAAAACAGTTTTTCCCCCATAATAATTTCTTCACTGACCTGTATGTCATGCAGTAGCATTGTTTTCTTCAAGAAGGTTCTTGAGTTTCAGTTTCATTTCTTCAGCAGCACATTAATCATTCAGTAGCATATTATTTAACTTTGTGGCGTTTCAAATTTCGACTTTCTTCCCATTGTTGCTCTTTTTTTTGACTTTCATAAGGGGATATGTATTAACTGTTGAATGGAGATTATCATATCCCAATGTGAGGATACAGTGCAGTATGCATCTGTACTTTCACATCAAAGATGTACTCCCAATGAAACTGTGAAAAGTATCTTGGCAATAGGATGCTGGACTCTTTGGCATTGTCCATGCCCACAATATCAGTATACACGTAAACAGCAGAATGATCGACATAGGACTGCTTATTAATAACTATACTATCATAATAATACAACAGAAATCAGTAAGGGGAGCCTATGGAACTGTATCATAAAAATAATAATAAAATGAAAAAACATCTCCCAAGGTTTACATTACAGACATGAGAGAATAGTTATAACACTTCAAAACAAAAAGATTCTTTCCTTAAAATTCAACACAGATTTTGGTTGCTAAATTATCTCAATTCTTACAATAGCACACACAAATCTATTCATTCTTCAATGTGAAAAATGCCTAATGTCACATATCTAGGGAATTCCAGTGTTAATATTCAAACTCAAAGCCCTGTTCTTTCTGTATTTCATGCAAATTTTCAACTTGTTCATAGCCCTTCAAGAAGGAATTGAAAGTAGCTGGATTAGTGCCCCTTCTACCTGCCCCTTCAGGGCCTGGTCCACAGCTCCAAATTTTAATAGCAAAGTACAGCAATCATATCCACAATATGTTTGCTGGGGAGTGGAGGAAGCATGGCATTTATTTTTACAGGACACTTTAGCAGGTCTTTTGTAATGCATAAAGAATTTGAAATAAGTAGCATAATT